ATGGGAAAAACACAAAGTGGTTTTGTTTGCATGTTCAAGTGGGGAAGCGGTTGCTCCATTAGTGTAAAAGGGGACCCCTCTCTCCTTCCCTCTCTCTAGCACCCTTTCCGCCGCTCCAATAATTCTCTTTAAAGTTATTGGGAAGTGTATGCTTAATTATATTTGCATATGAAAAATAGGGTCTAATTAGTGTGATTGATTATTATTTTAACCTTAATGACATTTTGAGTATCTGTCCCTCCCTAATAGCAAAAGTATCACACATAAATCATGGTCTTTGTATGGCGATGGTCTATTGAGCTGCCTTATGAAATATATTTTATTAATATTCCAGAATGTATTGAATCTGAAACAAGTCAAACAACTGCTCATTTATTAAACCGTTTAAATGTCAGCTTTATACAGGCATAATATTACAGGAAATATGTTCCTGTGAAAGACATCTGCAGGCCAAGCCGACTCAAAATATTAGTTATTTCACTCAAATATATGAAGGAAATAAAAATTCAATTATGTAATTTATGGCACTAAATAAATTTATATCGGCTAACATAAATGTTTTGAATTAGCAGGCGTACTTTTCTTGCAAAGTTTCCTGCCTTCCCTGAGAAGCTCAGCAGCTGAGACCCATTTGCACATTTCCGCCCCTCCCAAGACAAAGCAAGGAGCGAAAGGAAGGAAGCGGCCAGAGGGGGCTGCTTGCACCACCAGCATGCAAATACACCTTGCCAGAGAGGAACTTGGCCGGCAAAAGAGGATCCTCGGCCGTTGCCTTAAGACGGTTGCCTGCAGTTCATATGCAGCATTGGCATTTCAGCCCTAATTAGAAATTAGCATAGTCACATTGAGATGAATTGAATCAGACTAAAGATGATTAGCAAAGTAATGCAAGAAATCATTAAGTTAAGCCAGTGTGCCAAGTCCACTGCTGATCTATCACAAATTTGGGCTCCTAATGAGCTATTAATTAATGGGTTGGGTCAAAATCATGTCATTCAGCCCAGGGAAGATACACACCCCCTCACTCCCCCCCCCATGAGTGCTGAAGACAAATTTATCAGGGGTGAGTAAACAGACTGCGAAACTAACAGAATGCCAAGGTGGCAGGTTGCATTGCAGCAGTGATGAAGAGGAGGATTTGTCCTGAAATGTTTGTGGGATTGTTGGGGAAACAGCATAGAATCATAGAATTGTAGAGCTGGAAGGGACCACAAGAGTCATCTAGTCACCTGCACTGCAGGAATCTCAGCTAAAGCATCCGTGACAGATGGCCGTCCAACCTCTGCTTAAAAACTTCCAAGGAAGGAGGACCATTGCAAGATTGGAACTGGGAGCTTCCTGGCTCACAGCTTGGCTTTTTAACCTCAACTTCCCCTACATGACTGGCCTTTTGCATCTGTAGAGATTCTTCCACCATTCTCTCCCCACCCTGCAACTCTTTTGCCTCCCACAACTTTTGTCCCCAAAATCACTTGTGGAAAGCTAGAAGTAAGGCAATTGCATGGTGAAAGAATCCTTAACTGATTAATCCCATGAGCTGGACTAATCAAGCAATTAAATCAAATTTGTATGTATGGGCAGAAACCATAGTTCTGAAGTCGCCATCATAGTTTCTGTGCCTGTAGCTGATGTCTGCATCACAAGCGTTGAGCCAAGCTAGAAGTGAGCAGCAGGTTATGGGATGGGGGTGGGCATGTTGGCCTCGCCCTTATCAGAGGGGACCAGCAGCTATATCATTGGGAAGCTCGACAGCCCACAAAGGCTAGCAGATGGAAGCGTTTGCCACCTGGGAAGAAAGCAAAGTTCCTAAGGTTGGTCCCCAGCAGCAGCTCCAGGTAGAACAAGGAGAGACTCTTCCCTGAAACCCTGGAGAGCCATTGTTGCCGGCCAGTGTCGGCAACACTAAGCTAAATGGACCTGTTTTCTGACTGGGCTGCCCACACTCTGCAAGCTGGCAGGTGGAAGATCAGGTGCCTCCAAGGTCTGAAGAAGCACCTCAACTCAGGAGTGGCTGGAGGGGCCCAGACTCAAGATGGGTGGCAACAGAACTCCCCAGCAGCCTTTGTGAAATCTTGCTGCTGGCTTAAAAGGCACCAACTGCCGTTGATCAGTATGGGTCATAAGGAGGAGATCTTAGTGGAGGAGAAGGATAGGCATAGAGGTGGGGCTATGAAAGGGGAGGAGAGGTAGGATTTGGATTGTTTTTTGTTTTGTTTTGTTTATATCAGTGGACACAAAAGGCCTTCCCAATGGGAATCCTAAGAAGAGTTCCACAGCTGAGTTTGTAGAATTTCAGTGATAAAGAGGAACATATTGCCGAAAACATTGTTTTCGTTTCAATCAATCCTGGTGGTAAGCAGTGTGAGCTGCTTCAAAGAATGGCGAAAAGACATATCAAGAGTTATCTGGAGAGAGGGAAAACCAAGAATTAAACACAAATTATTAATAGATGTTAAAGATAGAGGAGGTTTCTCTTTACTGGATTTAAGATTATATTATGAAGCATCTTGCATTTGCTGGATCCTGGGTTGGATAAATTTAACAAATGCTGATTTCTTAGGTTTGGAAGGTCATGATAATAGATTTGGTTGTCATGCGTATCTATCTAAGGCCTCAAAAGTTTTTATAATCATATAATAATAAACTTGATTCTTTAAGTCTGGGAGAAATACAAAGATCTATTAGAACAGAAAACACCATGGTGGCTTTCCCCATTAGAAGTAATATCTATGAAAAAAGTGAATATGAGGACAACCAATTAAAATTAAAAGATTTTGAAGACGTTAGAGAAAAAGTAACAGATGGTTACAATATTTTAAATTAAATGAAACTTTAAAATGATAAAAAGAAAGAATTTAGTTATGAAGTGTCAAGACTTCAAAGAGAAATAGTAGAAGATAGTACAAAAGTGCTGTCAAAAATCTACAATCTGCTCTTGGGAGTTGGACACCAAAGAGGAACAGGTCAAATGTGTTATGATAAAATGGGCGAAAGATGTGGGACATAATATATTAATGGCGGATTGGGAAAGGCTTTGGAAGACAGATATGAAATTTACTGCATGTACTCTGCTGAAAGAGAATTATATGAAAATTATGTATCAGTGGTGTCTAACCCCGGTTAAATTAGCAAAAAGATCTAATAAGTGTTGTTAATGTAAAGAAACAGAGGGTACGTTATATATGTGGTGGGAATGTAGGAAGGTTAAAAACTTTTGGGAAATGATTTATAATGAAATGAAATACCGTATTTTTCTCTCTATTACACGCAGATTTTTTCTCCTAAAAAGGAAGGGGAAATGTCTGTGCGTGTTATGGAGCGAATGTGGGGGGGGTCCTGGAGCCGATTAGGGGAGCGCAGGAACAAAAATCAGCAAAAATCAATCGTGCGTTGTGGAGAGGGAAACCTGAAAAGAGGAAGTGGTTGCTTTCCTGCATTCTGCCTCAGGGTCTTACTGCCCACCCTCCTCTGTTTCGTTGCTGTGTTTGCTCAAACGGAACAAAGAGCAGGCAAATCCCCTCCCCTCCAGGCAAGCAGAGGGGAAAGCAGAGGTCTTTCCTTCTAATTCCTCTCCGTGCTCCTCGCAGGCAGCCAGAAAACATGCAGGAGGAGAGAGAAAGCTGGCTTCGGTTTGTGGAAACTTTTGCCTTTCTTTCCTCCCTCCCGTAAAATCTCTCTCCTGCTTTCTTAGCCAGCTGCTTCTCTGCACACCGCTCTCTTGTCCCTTCTGTGTTTTTCCTTCACTCCCCACTTAAAATGTAGTTACAAAGCATGGATCCACATGGATCCTCAGGATCTTTGCATTGGGCCACCCCAAATTCACCATCAGATCACATAGCAGCCTGCCCCCCAAAAATCACACACCCACTGTTGCCTGGGGCTGCAATGGTGCAAAAACGTGGTTAAAAAGCATGGATCCACATGGATCCTCAGGATCTTTGCATTGGGCCACCCCAAATTCACCATCAGATCACATAGCAGCCTGCCCCCCCAAAATCACACACCCACTGTTGCCTGGGGCTGCAATGGTGCAAAAATGTGGTTAAAAAGCATGGATCCACATGGATCCTCAGGATCTTTGCATTGAGCTACCCCAAATTCACCATCAGATCACATGTCTGTGGCCACAGCATGAAGCACAAAAATGATACATCCACTGTTTCAGAATTTTTTTCCTTGTTTTCCTCCTCTAAAAACGATGTGCGTGTTATGGTCAGGTGCGTGTTATAGAGCGAAAAATACGGTAAATGTTTAGAGTAACCTTTGTTAAAAAAAAACCAGAAGTCTTTTTATTAGGTATTGTAGGAGCAGAGATTCCAAAAGACCAGAAAATAAAGTTTCTGTACGCTACGACGGCTGCCCGGATACTGTTAGCCCAAAGATGGAAAGAGGAAGCAGTCCCAACCAAAGAAGATTGGCAAACCAAGTTACTGGACTAGAAACTAACTGGAAAGCTCAGAAATCAAATGACAAGAAATTTTAAAAAGAAACGGAAATGTTTATTATGCTTTTGCAAAAGTATTGTAAACAGGTTAATACATTGGCAGGATTTTAAAAACACTTGTAATTTTAGAAATAGTACAGAAAATCTGAGGTAAATAATAATAATTTGGAGTGGAAATGCTATGCAGTGGGTGGGGGGAGAGGGGAGTCACGGGATTCGGAGAATCCCATTTTATCAATTTGATATTGTTTTGTATATATTTTGGTTGTTATTGTATTTGTTATTGTGTGTTTTTTGTTTTTGTTATTTTTCTTGAAAATTTAATAAAAATATTATAATAAAAAAAGTCCCGCAGCTGGAGACAATGGGAGATCCTATTTCCTGCTGTGTCCCCTCCCAAGCAGGTATGGTGTGTAGTATGCCCATGCTGTTCTTCACAGGTGGACTGCCTCTGAACACATTCAGGCCTCACGCTCAGGACCCTCCCTTCTCTTGTACCAGCACCCCATTCCGATCCATCCATGCTTGTGGCAGCAATAAGTTTGAGGTCAATGTATTGAGACAGTCATTAATATGGTGATTTTATTAGCAGTTTCAGCCAACACTAATTTCCTGATGGAGTTCCCTCAGCCATTCCCCAGGGATCATCTCCAACTCCCACCCCAATCTCTCTTGTAAGGAAATGTCTCCTGATTACTGCAGTGGAATCCGACCTTAAAGCAGTGAAGTTCATGCACAAACCAAGCAATTTCACTGTGCAAAATTTCTCTCCCACGCACCCCTTTCCTACCCCCCATGCCACCCCAAAGAGTGAAACTCTTATCAGCACAATGCTTCTACCACTCCTTTGCGAATATTTGACAGTTGTCTGAGTTGAGGGAGCAGCCCTATAATTGCTTCAGAGCCACTGCTGGCTGGCATCTCTCTGGCTTATATGTGAAACTTTCCTTGGCCTGGTGATGGAATAGGGGTGGGAAGGGAGGGAGAAGTGCTCCCTAGTAAAGATGCCACACCACTGGCATGAAAGGGAGACTGCAGCCTCCTGAGAGTTGTGGTGTTCATGGGTTTGGGGTAGGTGGGAGTAGGCAATGCCTTCTGAGAGTCTTCCAGATGCCTTGGGTTACAACATTAGATGGGTAGAGATCCTTGGCTTTTTCTCTCTGCCTGTGACAGCCAGATATTCAGAAGAGTTTAAACAAATGCACTTGACAACACACCATCGGAGGAAATCCTTGCTGTGGCCTGGCAATTATTCCACTGTGCCAGTGCATGGCAAGGGGAGCACAGGATGAAGTAACCCTCGGCTTGGCAGACCCACCCAGGGGCCAGGCAAGTGGCAGACGCTGCATGGGGCTTGCTCAGTGCTGCACTCGGCGAATGGATTGCACCTGGGAGGTCTGAGCATGAGATCCCAGTTCCCGGACATGCTTGTATTCGCCCCCATGGCAATCGCTCTCCACGACGTACTGGAAGCCCCGGTACCCAGGGAACTGGAAGCATACCCATCTGAGGAGACAGAAAGGAGGGGGGAGAAATCAGCTGAGATGTGGGGAGATCAAGCCAGCACAGAGCAGGGCTGCCAGGGGCTCAGGACTCCCTCAAAGTGCTCAGAGGGCAGGGGGTGTTTGGAGGCTGCGAGAAAACTGATTTTGCAAGGCCACACACCATCCTCATCCGCATAGAATTCCCTGCTGCTGTTTATTCTTAGGGAGCAGAGGCCCCTAAGAATGGCAAGGCCTCCGCTCTGCTGGGTTCAGGGAGCTACCTTCTTCAAACCAGAGGGCCCACAGAAACACCAGAAGGTAATGTCACAGGCCAGGCCATCAGGCCTTGTTGTGCAAAGTTGTATTGGCTCCATCCTATTGCTATCAATCAGTCCCTTGCAGAAAGGAGGAGGAAGCCCTTTCTCTACCAAAGACAAGTCCAGGGACACGAAAACGTTGCAATATGCTAGCTCAGCTCTCCTTTGAAACTCGCCCTGAGAAATGTGACCCTCAGTTCCAGCCCTGAGAAACAAATGGAAGAGGAGTACTTGGCAGGGTCCCCAAAAAGTACTTACGCTCCAGAACTCGCACGGAGGGACCCCACCTCATTGCTGCCCCAGCCCATCGCCTTGAGAGATGGGTAGTCATCACTCAGCTCCCCTTTGCGTCCCATAAAATTTTCCTGCTCAAATATGGTCATCTTGCTCTCCCGGTGATTCTGCGCAGGGCAAAAACATCATCTTAGGCACTGGCCTGGACTCCTCATTATTAATAAATGCAAATAACAACAATATCAATAATAATACCAGCCACCATGTCTGTCCTGCAGCTCTTGGACCTCTACAGCCAAGGAGCCAAATCTGTTAAGGCGCAGGTGAACAACCTACAGTCCTTCAGATGCTGGATGTGAACAATTCCCGCCAGGCCAGTGTGGCCCTTAGTCAGGAGTGACGAAAGCCCGGCAGCCCACGGACACCCCAAGGGCTGCGTTCCTGTGTCAAGGAGATGCTGGCTGCTTCCTCCTACTGACGCTTCTCCTGGAGGGATGAGAGGCTTGGCTGAGCTACCTCCTGCCTCTCCAGATGTCAGTAGTGCAGGGCTTGGTTTCTAAATGCCACCAGACAAACCTGGTCGGTTTTGACTTTCCCTGTGACCTCTAAGGCAGTGTGGCTGACAGCTGGGTTCCAGTGGGCTTGCTGGCACAAAGCTATGAAGTTCTTTGGCAGTAGACCCAGGGCAGACCACAGGAGGGACTTCTCAGTGATTTACTTCAACCATTAGCTCCTGTCTGAGACTTGGTGATGCCTGCTGGTCCAGAAGGCTTTCAAAGGGAATGAGGGAAATTAATGGAGAAGCAACATTCTTAACCCCCAGGTTTAGAAGCAGTCTATCTCTGAGTAACAGCTGCTGGGACTAAACAAGATGAGGAGGATGCTACCTTCAGGGCTGCTGGGTAGGCTCCTTGGCTCAGCCACTGCAGGATGTAGGATGCTCAGCTAGATGGACCCACCTGAGTCTGATTCCACCTGGCTCATCTTACGTTTGTTAGCGAAATAAAAAAGCTGAGCTTAGCAAGTCAGAGGGGAGGACTTGGACTTCAGGTTCCAAGAAAGGAGATTCTGACTAAACACCAGGAATAACTGTTTGACTGTAAGAGCTGATTGACAGTGGAACAGTCTCCCTGGGAAGGTGGTGGACTCTCCTTTCTTTGCGGTTTCTAAGCAAAGGATGTATGGCCACCTGTCATGGAGGCTTTAGCTGAGATTCCTGCATTCCAGGGGGTTGGACTAGATGGCCCTTGGGGCCCCTTCCAACTCTACATTTCTATGATTCCTCAGCAGAGCAACCCTACTCTCACCAAGGAACATAATTTGGAGTCTAAACCTTGGTCCGCCTGCTCAGTATTGCGTGCGCAGGCAGGCAGAGGCTCTGCAGGTTTCAGGCAGGGTCTTTCGCTGGCCCTCCCTAGAGATGCTGCCAGGGACTCAGCCTGGGACAATCTGCATGCAAGGCTGGCACCCTGCCACCCTCAGGCAGCCTGGGCTACAACTCCCTCCAGGCAGCCTCCTGCTGGCCCACCCCAGTTGCTCACCGCACAGGAGACGGGCCGGAAGGAGCTCAGCCGGTGGGCATGGTAGGCGTTGCTTCCGCTCCAGGCTTCCCAGCAGGGGTAGTCGCCTTGCTCCAGCACAAACTGCTGCCCCTGGAAACCGGGGTGCTCAAAGCCGACCCACCTGTGGGGAGAAAGGAGGTGGGCCTCTGTAGCCAGGAAGGTGCAGGCTTAGCTTGGGGGATGAGGGGGGAAGGAACATTCTGCAAACAAAGCTCGGCCCCAGCAGGCTAGAAAAGCATCATCCAGCTGTGCCCTGCATGGTGCCGGAATGTTTGTGTGCAGACATTGGCGTGAATGCACAAGACAGGCCAGGCGCACTCTCTCCCCGCTGCACACAGCATAGTCCTGTGCACATTCACTCTCCAAGGCAGCTGGAGCTATTTTATTGATTCACTACATTTATATCCCTCCTTCTTTCCTCCAAAGCGCTCCCCATACCATCCTCACAACAACCCTGTGAGGTAGGCTAGGCTGAGAGACCGTGATGGACCCATGGTCACCCAGTGGAGCCTTGTGGCTGAGCAAAGACTTGAACCCTGGTCTCCCAACGTCCCAGCTCAGCACTAACCACTGCACAACACTTCCCATCTGAGCAGGTCTAGGGTTTTACCTGCTAGGAACTCTGAGGAAAGGAGTAAGGCTCTGAAGCTCAGCAAGGGCCACTCACGACGTGTGAGCGAGGCATTCGCCACCAGAGCGAAGGGGAGGACGAGGCAGGGGCAGTGGGGTGAAGGGGTCCCAGGAAAAGCAAGAAAGTGGGCAAGAGTTCTGGGAAGCAGTAGGGAGCCAACTCACGTGCCGCTCTCAACGCGGGCTGAGCAGACATTGTCGAAGCCACACAATGTGATGTCGTAGCACTCAGAGGTGAACTCATGCTTCCGGCCCTGGAAGGCGGGCTCGTCCCAGGCCACAATCTGAGAAGAGACGAGGGAGGGGGGAGCAGGGAGGAAAGCCCACCAGAGAACCTGCTGTCGCTGCTCAGAGATCTGCCCTCAGACTGGCAGGATTGAAGGGGCACTGGTGGGTGAGGGTCTCTCATTCCTCACTGGAGGGTTGAAGGCTTGGTCGAGAGCAGGGTCAGGAGCAGCCAGAAGTGACCCTGACCCCCTTTTCCAGAGTGCAGGGATGAGTGGAAGAAGCCACACACTCAATGCCCGCCACAGTCGTATATGAAGGCATGCGTCCGCATTCAACCCCACAAGCAGCACCTCTGGGGAGAAGCACCTGCCTGCGTGAGCAAACACGAGGAAGCACATGAATGCAAATGACCTCATCTTATCCCCAGAAGAGCCAGTGAAGTAGGAGGGAGGGGAAGGGAGATTTTGAGGGGATTTGAACACAGGCCTGAGCCAAGTGCTCCCAAATCACTACACCATATGATCCCTCCTTAGTGCAGAAACATCTGAGCTCAAGTCCTTCCCTGTCCTGGACTCCTTGTTTAGCCTTGAAGAATTCACTCACTCTAAGCCTCAGCTCTCCATCTGCAAAATGGGACGGCTGCAAGCCTAACTGACAGGGTACTTGGGGGGAGAGCACAATGAATGCAGTGAAGCACCTGGCAGATCGGAAGTGTAAGATAAATAACATGATTTGCTTCTGTTAATTGGTTTCAAGCAACCTGCCCCAAATTTCTGTTCTCTGCCTTCACAGTTTCTTGATACCGTTCCCCCCCCCCTTGCAAAAAAGTTTGTTCCCTGGGACTCCTCTACAACCCTGCTATACACATGGCTCATTGCTCCATACCTTCCAAAGTCCAGAGACTTTTCCACTGTGATGACTCATGGTAGACTCTGCTTCCCTGTAGGGGAGAAAAGCGCAGGGCCAAAGGTGTTACAGGACGTCTTGGGGAGCTAAGGTTAATGCTGGAAACCTCTTTTCCAGGCCACACCACTCATCCTTCCAATACAGAAAAGCTGGGATAAAGGAGAAACATGTGGAAAGGGCAAGAGTAGCGATTACTCAAGGGACCTGCCTTCAGCCAGGACTAGGGCAGGGAAGACACTCAATTCAGGACGCATTTAAACCACATTTTATCACATTTACACTTTCCTTAACAAGATGAGAACCAAACGCAGACCTACCCTTTGAAATTGCACATATATGAATTTTTGCAATGAAGTTTTCCAACTAACCAAAGTTTTCAAACATTCAAATATTAGGGTGAAATGTGCATTAAAAATGGATATATTTGTGAAAATAGCATACACAGTTGTATTCTATTAGAGCAAACTGCTTGCAAAATGTGTACGTTGGTCAAAATTGTTCACATAAATATCTTTAGCAGAAGAAATTTGCACTAAAATGCTTAAGAATACACATGAAGATTTAAAAAAGGACAACCTTCAAATTGTTATAGAAATGTGAATAACCAAATTTAAGGTTGGGGAAAAATGAGGAACTAAGAGAACCGACATTGACAGATTTTTTCACCACTAGACAGCACTTGCGGATGAGTTTGCCACAGAGCATGTGCAGAGTATGGTTCCCCTTTCTTGCCACTAAGACACCTATCAGGGCACGTTGCCCTTGGAAAATGACATCCAATCCTTCCTCGAGTCAATAGTTCACACCCATTGCCTGGGGTTGCTAGTTCCAGGATTGTACCCAAGTCTGCCTGAACCTGTTCTGGGGTTGAAGCGAACGGAGCCATGCCTGCCTGCCCCCCATGGGACTTCCAACGGCACTTACCTGGTGAGCTCCAGCCAGACTCTCCTCATCAGCTCTTCTCCAGAGGGATTTTTATATCCGCTGTGCATCCCCAAATGCCCTGACTCAGCACAGGCCAGAACAAAAGTCTGTCTCCCAGAGGATCAAGCTGGCCTCATCCAGAGCCCGACCCCTCACAGTCACTCTCCCTCTCTTCCTCTCAGCGCAGGAACTGGAGACAGGGAAAAAGTCACTGGGCACATGGTGGGGTTCAGAGCAGCCCCTGTGTGCAGAACTACTATTTCCCTGATGCTAAGCTTGGCCCATAAACAAGGGGATGAGGAGTGCCTCAGAGCATAAGCAGAATGCCTACGAAATGGTGTGCGAGGTGGAGGAAGAGGATAGAGAGAAAGCCACCTATATCATGCTAGAAGCCAGCAGGGCGGTCTGGTGAAGCTGAATGTTGGAAGGTGTAAGACAGAGTAGCGCCTGGTTAAACTTTGGGTCTCCTTCCCACAGGAAGTAGCAACGGCCACCAGCTCTTATGAAGGAGGCAAGACAAATTCATGGAGGAAATGGCTATCAATGGCTACCAGCCACTGTTGGCAGCAGGGCACCTTTTCCAATGCCAGTTGCCATCAGCCCCCGCCTTGTGGGTGTCTGACTGACCGTAGGCAGGAGCGGATTGTGGACTAGATGGGCCTTTGGCCTGATCCAGCAGGACTCTTCCTATGTTCTTCTGTGGATGCCTCCCTCATGGCACTGACAAGCCACAGCAACCCTGTGGAGTGGGACAAAGGGGAGACTGGGATGGGGATCTGCTCAGAACCACCCAGGGTACCAATGAAGGTTTGAACCTGGGTCTCCCTCACTGCGTGGCTCTCTTGGCTGGTCCAGGAGGCCTGGAGGTTGGGTAGGTGGTCTTGGGGCTGCGTGCCCTGCTTGGGATGCTATTTATAGCCTGGCATACAGACTGAGTTGCAAAATATTCCTCAGCCCAGGAAGGCCTTTTCACAAGCTCCACAATGGAAGCTGCTTCATCAGCAACTGCTCTGCTTGGCAGGGAGGACCAGTCTGGTGGCGGCGGCGGCGGGGGTGGTGGCGGGTATTGTGGAGCAGAGGGCAGGGCTGGGGTGGATATCTGGTGGTTTTCCAGCTGAGTGCCCTCATTGCAAGATGTGATGACTGTGGCCTTTGAGGAGGACTCCGATGACCAAGCATCTCCATTGTGTCCTCCTGGGCTTTGCCCTGGCTAGGGCATAAAACGAGAGTGTATAAAATGCAGGAGAGTCACGACACCAGCCCAATCACTCCACCACGAAGCACCAGCAACCCAGGTAAGAGGTGGAGGGAAGATGCCCTGCATCCTGGAGACATCTGGGGGCTTCTGGCTACTACGTGTGTGTGTGTGTGTGTGTGTGTGTGTGTGTGTGTGTGTCCCACCCCATCAAGGCATGAGATCTGCCTTCATTTCCCGGGGAGAGCCCTTTTCTTGCTCACTTCCTTCACCATGGAAACCTTCTCGTCAGTCCCTCAAGCAGCGGGAAAGATGGCTCAGGATCTGAGCAGCAGGAAGATGGACCAGATCAAAGAAATGTTATCAGGACAGGGAGCAGAAAGTCGTTCTTCCCGCAGGAGGCAGTGATGGCCACCAACCTCGATGGCTTTGAAAGAGTGCCGGGCAGATTCATGGAGGCGGGGAAGGCTATCAATGGCTGCACCCATCATGGCTGTGTCCCCAGCTGCAGACAGCTGTGCTTCAGAATGCCAGTTGCTAGAAACCACAGGAGGGCAGAGGGCTCTGGGACTCCATTGCTTGTGGGTTTCCCAATGACGCCTCTGGTTGGCCACTGCGAGAACAGGAGGCTGTGTGAGGTGGTCCCCCATTGCCCTGATCCAGCAGGCCCTTCCTAGGTTCTTTCCTCTGAGCATTGATGAAAAGCACACACTGCCCTGAAGAAAGGGCAGAAAGGAACTGGCAGCAAAAGGCAGGGGTGGAAAACAGAATAGTACCAAAAGGGTAAGATGAATTTTGGGAAGCGACAAACTCTACCCCACAAGCTAGATATTCGAAGGAGAAGTAACAGCATATTTCACCAGAATGCTCCTGCAGTAAGGAAGTGTGTCCCAGGACAATAGCAGTCGTATTTTAATTTGCAGCTTATGATTAGTTGTGTGGAAAAGTATGCAAAAAGTGCTTTTCTTTTGAGAAACCAGAGGGAGTCAGCAGGAAAGGGCAGGAGGTGGCATGAGACTGCTCCAGATATGTAGGGTAGGCACCTGAAAAGGTGCTTTCTAACTGAACAGGTATTACAATTTCAGGTCTTACCCAGACACAGCCATGTCCGAAAGCACAAGAACCACCCCTCCCAGCCATGACATGGACAGGAAGGAAAAAGACAGTCCCACCCCATCCACCAACTCATCCCCTGATTCCAGCAGTCAGGGTGAAGAGTCCTCTGCAGAACCTTTCCGGGTGAGTTGGGAGAAGGTGCCAGTTCTGAGCAGAGAGGCAGGACATGGGGAGGAGGCCCTGATCCCTTAGAGCGCATGGCTGTCCCTTCGGTGCTGCATCCAGTCTGGGCCTGTCTTGGGAGGGGAAGGGAAGAGAGCCCTGTTGGAAGCCCAGTCCCTATCCTTTGGTTAGGTCAGTGGCTGGTAGACCAGAACTGGAAAGAATGGTGAGGAGATACTTGCAGCTCTCTTTCTCTCTGCTGCAATGGAATGGCCACCAGAGCTTCAGGAAAGTGATAACAACAACAACCATTGATTTGTACTCCCTCCCATCCGACTGGGCTGCCCCAGCCACTCCGGGCAGCTTCCAGCATATATCAAAACATAGTGAAACATGAAACCTTAAAAAGCTTCCCTATGCAGGGCTGCTCACTCTCTCCACCCAGACAAACACATCTGACCTCCTGAAAGAAACAGCAGGCGGCCGTGGGGAAGAGCCCATGACATGCCCCCCTCGGACTGGGGAGGCCACGGGGGACCCAGGTTCCACCCCTGGGGACCCCTCTAGATATCCTTCCTATGGGGCATGCAGGGTGATTTGTATTCACAATGCTCAGGGGGAGCCATGGGCAATCCCATTTCCAATACTGTTGCACCCTCACAAGATTTGGGCTGGTCACACTGCTTCACTTTCAGTCAGTGCCTAGCCCACAATTCCTGCTGAAATCCTGTAACTTCTTGTACCACAAAGATACTGGTTGGCTTCGCCTCGCTCTTGTCATCTTTTATCCCCCCTCAGACAGAAATAGTGGGCTGGCATCACAGAACAAACCAGGGCAGAATCAACCCACTGCTAAGGCTCTGCTTCTGTGCCCAGAACGTCTCCCCCCTACCCAATGCCTGCCAGGAGGGGGTTTGGCTCTCAGCCTAGCCTGGCCCACTAGGTTCTTGTGAGGATCAAGGTGTATATGGGGGGAATGCAAGCTATCTTGAGGTCCGTGGAGAAAAAGTGGGATGTAAAGAAAAGCAAAAAATCATAAAGAGCTGCATCTTTCTCCAGGGTCTGCTGTCTTATCAGAGGGGTTGGCATTCACCTCCCCGTATGCTCTGCTTGCTTTTTCTGTATAGAAACCTTACAAAATAGCTTCACCATACTAGTCTTTCCTCTGTAAGGCAAAGGCACCAACCCTGGACATGGCGCCCTGAAACATCTTACCAGAATCTGAATTAAATGGGAAATTGAAAGGGGGCTCTGGCAACTGACAGGAATAAAAGAAGATAAGGCAGCTGGGTGGCGGAAACACAGGAAGAACAGAGGGTGGCAGAGAAAGTTCACTACATGGCCATTTCCTCACCAAGCACACCAGGGATATATGTGTTTGGGTGTGCATGCATGTGTGCAAACACGCATGTGTTCTTATATTAACCCAGCAGGGAGTTTGTGAGCTACAAAGTATGAAAATTGGATTTATGCTGTTCCTTAATCCCTGCTGAAGGATTTGAATCTGGTACATGTGGCTCCAGAGCTCACCTCTGCCACATCCCTGGACATTCAAGCCACCCTCCCTGAGCGCTCATTCCTTAAGGTGTCAATGGAGCAGTAAGTAGCCCTCTGGCAGCTGGCCCCGTCTGACGTGGCACAGACTTCTCAGGGTTCATATTTTGATTTGGGGCAGCAAAATGACCTATTCTGGCTGGATCTTCTTGTAATCGCATCTGTGCTGTTGATGCATTTTGTTCTGGTTTTACATTGCCAAACTGGGGCTTTAATCTATATGTGCTGCCTGCCCTGGGACCTTTCAGGGAATGAGAGAGTATAAATGTCCATAGCAAATAAAGAAACAAATCCTCTAATAACTGCTGCTTGTGCTTCTCCCCCTACGCCCCCAGGAGACGTTTCATATTGCTTCTTTCAGATCATTGTGTTTGACCAGGAGAACTTCCAGGGCAAGCAGATGGAGTTCACCAGTGCATGCCTGAACCTGGGGGACCATGGATTTGACCGGGTGCGCAGTGTCCTGGCAACCTCTGGACCGTAAGTGATCTCAGCCAAACAGGGTTATCGAGAGGCAGGTGCTGGAGATGGGGATGTGCTAGGCTCCATAGCCAATAGGAGTCCCAGGTGATTCGCTTTCTTCCTTCTTTTTAAAAAAGTAAATCTCTACCCTCCTAGAAAGAAAACAAGGAAGCAACATAAGACCTCTCCCCTATTTTATGTGAGATGAGCCAGGCAGGCTGCTATGTTTTCGTGTTTCTAGTCAATGAATGAAATCAGAGTTGGGGTTGACAAATGAGCTCTTTGGATACACCCCCCTTCCCTTTCTTGTTAGGGTCTCCTTGAAATCTCAGCTTGAGATAAAGTACTCCATGTAAGCTATTTTCTGCAGATTCTACTACTCAGTAGACATGTTTGCTCAAAAGTAAGTCTCTTTGTGGTTTATAGGGCTTACTCCCAGGTAAGTGGGTGCCAGATTGCAGCAACCTAGGCTTTTTTTGTGAGGAAGCGGCAGAGAAGAGCTCATGGTGAGAGGGTCCATTGTGCACACTAACCTCGAAGTAAACTCACTTGAATGCAATTATGCATCTAAATACAAAGTAATCATGCAAAATTGGATGAAGCCTTGGAGGCATGCTAATCTACAGGTGGGAGTGAAAGGGAGAACAAAATGAATGCCTTTGGTTAAAGCAAGCAAAAATTGATGCCCCCAAAGCAAGCACTAAATCCCCTTTTACAGCCATTTTATACCTCCAAACATAAGCCCAGAAGAAGAGCCTGCTGGATCAGGCCCATGGCCCATCTGGTCCAACATCCTGTTTTCATAGTAGCAAGCCAGATGCTTATTATGGGAAGCCCACAAGCAGAGCCCAAGTGCAAGACCAGTCTCCTTCCAACAGTTTCCAGTGACTGGTGATATTCAGAAGTGTTACTGCCTCCAACAGACCGAGCCCTGGGGCCCAGAAGCCCTTGACAGCTCTCTCCTCCATCCATCTCTCCAGTACTCTTTCCAAGACATCAGAGTTGCTGGCCATCACTTCCTCTGGTGGGAGTGAGGATGCTCCACTTCGCCATGCTTTAAAGGCATTATTATTATATTATTATTATTATTATTATTATTATTATTATTATTATTATTATTATTTACTTATACCCTGACCATCTGACTGGGTTGCCCCAGCCACACTGGGAAGCTTCTAACATAATATATGAAACAAAATTTAAAAAATTCCTTCCAGTAGCACCTTAGAGACCAACTAAGTTTGTTATTGGTATGAGCTTTTGTGTGCATGCACACTTCTTCAGATACACAAAAGCTCATACCAATAACAAACTTAGTTGGTCTCTAAGGTTCTGCTGGAAGGAATTTTTAAATTTTGTTACGACTACGGCAGACCAACACGGCTACCTACCTGTAACTATAAGAACACATTCTCATTCTAATCTAGGCTACTCTGCTTCCTTAGGCATATCACAGTTCAAGGAATGGGAGCTATGACCTGACAAGTAGTTCTGCTTGCAGTAAATCTAGTCACATTTTGAGCTGAGCTGATTTGCAAAAATGCTTTGCTTTCAGCCAGCAGCCTTGACTTTCA